TGTTTACCTAGACTTTTCATTGTGTCCACTAAGCTTAGGTGGATGATCCATTGACCAGTCACTCCTCATGGACACACAGCTGGGTTCTGGAGGATCTGGTCTGTGCAATGAATGTGAACACGACAAAAGCATTTAATTCACATACTCTTTTATTAATGACTTTTGTAATTAACTGATTCGGGTGACTATATTATTCCATTAATATATATATATATATAATTTATTTTTAATTTAAATACTCGGAGTGTTTCCCATTTGTATTGGTTCAGTCCCTTCAGGCACTCTCACATGCGATTTAAATGTGTTTCTGATTACTATTCTTTAATATTTTTGCTGGTAAGGTTTGTTTTAATCAACTTCCAAAAATAATAAAAGCTATTTGTACTCTTTTCCAGAGAGTTGTGAAATGTGTGCCAACTCTTCTACGTGGCAAGTTTTGAGTTTTAATGTGAAATCATAAACTTATGCAGTAAACATGATCGTCACACTGCACCACACTAACGTTACTCCTGTAACAGTTACACTTAGAGCCCAAACCGGTTTACACCATAACATGTGCTGGTAATCTGTAAGAGAAAACACCTTCTGTCGAAACCTCTGTAAATATGATGCGAGAAGCTAAATATCCCAAAGCAAATCGAACTATTCACAGAATAACATCGTTACACAACGCATGTCTAGGCCTAGATCTTTTCGAGGAAGTAACGTTACGTGGTTTCGTCGCTGTGTTTGTAACACACTCACCTGTGTGGACCCGTATCTGTGGATAGTTTCTCATAAAGCGGATCTCCATCTGGTTCCATTACAATTGTGTAAAGATGTTTCTGCTTTCATAAAAGTCCAATATAGGCCGATGAATTATACTTTCACTTTGATGGACAACACCCGTGAAAAGGGGAGGAGCGGCCGCAACAAAAGTGCGTTTTTCCGGTTTTATGAGGACAGTGTAAACAGCACGTTAGAGCTGACAAAAAGATTCCCCGTCAATGGCCCACAGTTGATCTACTTTCTTGCACATTTGTGCGTCGAACTTCTTTAAGAGATGGACATGTGTGTCAGTAAAACCAAACAGAAACTGAAACAACAAAAATGCAGCTTCTGCTTCCTCTTCTTCTTCTTCTCTAGTTTAATGGCGGTTGGCAAACCCACTTAAAAGGTGCATTTCCGCCACCTACTGGACTGGAGTGTGGAGCATGAAGTTTATTGGTGATAACCATAGACTGTATAAAAACAGGTGATAACATATCATAAAAAAAACCTTTAGGAAACCTTTTGTCCAAAAGAGTATTACACAAGGATACACGTATTTTATATACTTCATTATGTGATCTTCAAATTCTATTTATTAAACCTATTGCTTTCAAATAATTAATAATTGCATTATAGACTTTATACAGTGCTGCTGGAGCATTCTCTAGTATTGTCTTAATTGTTATACTTTCAATATTCAACAAACTGAATTCTTCTATTAATCGCATTCTTACAGTGTAATGTGATATGTTCCACAGTCTCTGGTGTACCACATTTATAGCAATTGCCTGATTCATGTTTACCAATAATACATAATGATTGATTAAGAGCTGTGTGACCAATACGGAGTCTAGATATTATTGTGTCCTCCTTCCTACTTCCGAAGTTTTTCCTTCCATTTCCAACTTGTTTTTGAATGTTGTATAGATGCCGACCCTTTACCTCCCCATCCCACATCTTTTGCCTTTCCCGGACCTGCAGCTTTCAGAAAGTACTGGTGTTTGTTACTCAGCTCCGTGCTGCTCTCTGCAGGTCAGGTCCTCATACTTGTTACAGTCTAGTACAGGGATCCTCAAATCTGGACCACGAGATCCACTTTCCTGCAGAGTTTAGCTCTAACCCTAATCAAACACACCTGAGCATGTTAATGAATGCTAATCAATGTCTTTGGAATCATTAGAAAATCACAGGCAGGTGAATTTGATCAGGGTTGGAGCTAAACTCTGCAGCGCATTGGCCCTCCAGGGCAAGATTTGAGGAACCCTGGTCTAGTAGTATGTGTTTCACTGTCTCTTGTACATTACAGTGGGTGCATAATCCAGTGGGGTGTTTTCCTATTCTATGTAATGTTTTATTTAATCCAGTATGACCTATTCTAAGACGCGAGACTAACATCTCTTGCCTTGGGCCTCTGCCCTTCCTCGTGCTTATGACTACTTGTTTTTGTATATTATATAAATGACGTCCTGTATCAGCTATGTCTCAATATTCCTGCCACATTTTGAGAGAGTGCTCCTTTATGATGGTTTTGACCTCTGCTCTACTCCGTGGTATTTGTTTTTATAGAGTTTTTTGCTAGAATATCCACAATCTCATTTCCTTCCACCCCTACATGGGCAGGAACCCAAAGGAAAGAGACGGACATCCCCCGATTAAGGAGTGTGAGAAGCAGATGGAATATTTGATAAGTGACCTCTTGTCTACATGACGTTTTCCCAGATTGAATGCTTTATAATGCTGATAAACTGTCTGAAGCTATAACGATACTTTGGTTATGATTATTTTCTATAAGACTGCTACTAATTCCACAGTGAACACTGACAGGTAGTCTGTTGCTCTTTTTTTCTACTACTTCATAACGATGTATGAATAAAGCTGCATCATTGCAGCCTGTTTTGATCCACCTGTACATATGAATAATTCATCTTGATAAGGCTTTAGTTTTGAACACTGTGGCATTATTTTAGAATTTTCTTGTAATATTTGTTATAAGCTTGTATTTACAGATACATTTCCAGGGATTTTCTGGATTGGTTATATTTTCTTATTAAATAATAAATAACTTTTAATAATAAAGAACCCTTAAATGGTTCTAAAAAGAACCATCTAACTTGGATTCAAAGAACCATTTGGGGTTCTTTTTAATGAACCCATTAAAATGGTTCTATATAGAACCATTTTGGGGTTCCATATATGAAGCGTGTGATAGAACCATTTCTGGTTCTAAATAGAACCATTTCTTTTAAGAGTGTGGTATCACTGATACTGCCACAGTGGGAACTGATTGAGACCTGCATTTTGTGCCAATGCGTTCATGATTCTACATAATGCAAATAGTAGCCTACATTAAATATATAGTTTATGAATATTCCAAAATTCAGATTACAGTTGAACAAATAAGAGACTGTTATTGGACGCTACATCTTCTTATCCGAGAACCGTTAGGCCTAATCCCTTATGAAAATTAACCTTGGTTTTACCAACCATGATTATAGATACACCACGGTAACCACAAATTAACCATGGTTTTGCTACACTAACCATAGTTTAACCATGGTATTTGAAGTAAACCTGTGGTTATACAAATGGTAATCAATAAGCCAAAAAATCTTTACACTTTTACTATAATAAAACAATGGCTAATTTTCGTAAGGGATGTGAAGCGAAGCTGTGTAGCAAACAAAGACTATTTCAGACATAATTTCACGCTATGCATTTCGCTTCAGCGTATGAGGGGGAAATCAAAATGCCAAACGGTGATGAAAAACACATTAACTGAGTGAATAAAAGGTTTTACCTCTGCAGTCATTGTCCAAAAGATCTCAAAAACATCATTAACTAACCCTATAAAACATCCAAGATTTGCCACTTAGTCACAAATACAATTCAAGTTTTTAATTGCCATTCAGTTCCATTGATTTGTTCATATCACTGAGATGGCAGATACAAAGGTCCAATAGATGAACGGGAGAAAGATTTTAATAGGTCATTTATATTTTATATTATTAATAGGTCATAATAAATAATATTTACATTAATACAAAGTCATTAAGAAATATCTCTCAGTGAGGTCACAGTGACTTCTGCTTTTGATGATCAGGTCTCACAGTGGCCCCATACTCACCATCATGTAACAGCTGTCAGTAAAATAAAGCACAAACATATGCATTATGGGACATCACTCCTGACACATCTAGTTCAAATGGCATTATAATGTGAAATGAATCAATATTTACTGCAGTGTCTCTAGTTTATCTTTTAAAGCAGAGAGATGCCCAAAGAAAAGGGCTTTGGCATGTTGAGGGCCATGGCTAAGGTTACAATTGCTAAATATTATTAATATAAATATTATATGTATACTGCATAGTATAAACTATGATCTTCCTTTAGTTCAGGATGTTTAGCTGCGAAACGTAAGATTTTTCTCATGTCTCTTTGTGGCTTTTAGAAAAATTAAGAGATATGGGTTAGATATAGATCTAATCAACTTTGCATGCTTCCATGAAGGAGAAAAGGAGGATCCATGAATCTATGAACACTACCTCAGGACTCTTGTTAGTTCTGCTAAATCAACACTGGCATGTGTCTCCCTCTGTTGGCGGAAAAAGAAAAGACATCAATAATTCGGTTTTATTTCTACTTTGCTTTTGCGGAAAATAAATAGTAGGCCTACTTAATTGGGTTTGCAATATACGTTTATAGCAATTAATGTTCCTTTTTAATGTTATGCTTCAGAAAGCTGATGTTGCATAAAGGAAAAGTACAAGTTCAGAGTCAAATACCACCTGTAAGGAAATTATCAAAAATTAAATAAACAACAGTGACACCTTCTAAGAAAAATCGTGCTCGATGCTTTTAATTAATCTTAACATAACCACTACACACTCCTAAATCTCGATGCTCTTTAGAGATATATTATTGTGATTGTAAATACCAGAATAACTGTAACCGAGTTTCTCTCTTTTTCTCGAGACAGTTTCACTTTTTTTTTTCCTTTTTTTAAATTTAAAAAATAAAAAACAAACTTTTAAATGCTAAAACGGCTTGCCATACAATTATATTTTAAGATATCTGAATTGTACCTGATTAATTATTAATTTTTTCCATGTTTTTTTTATTTTTTATTAACAAGATCAGAATACATGTATATGGCAAACACTATACATGATATAAACAATAAACATTATACATGAAATAAACAATTTCACACTAGAGGGGCTGTATACAAATACAAACTTATATAAAAATATTAAAGCGTTTACAAACTTTCACCGTTTTAATTGCTTTTTGTTTCATAGAAAATCGTATAGTATCAATATAATGCTTCATTTCCTTCCTAAAAGAAAAAAAACAAGTTTTTTTGCATGAGAACTTTTTGTGAATATTACATTTTTATCATGTAAACGTGACTGTGCTTTTCTTTGCTGTTCTCCAATATACCGAATAATACATCTTTCCATAACAAAACAAAATGATTATCAATATTTTGTACAATAAAATTACATTTTGCCAAAATAGCTCGAGAAAGTTCCACATATTGGCACGCGAGCGGCAGCACTGAAGTCAATGAAGGATTGCACCTTTCTCAGTCACACTGTACGATCTGACCACACGCCGCGCATGAAGGAGAGATGCGATTGGCTGGACGCGGTTTGGAGGCGGGTTCAATCGTCCATTCCGATCGTCTCATTGGTCAGAGCGGCACAGTCTGGGCGTTAACCTTTTCTGTCCGTTCGGAGACGGAGACAAACAGCCAGGCTGTGTTTACTACACCGTTCTGCTGCTTTCCCTAAAGATATTCCAAAGAGCTAACATGCACACGATTCAGAGACACTAGTTCACACAGAAAAGGTGAGTATATTTTTACGCAAGTGTGCCGTTGATGTCTTTTTCATGTGTTTTTCCTAAAGCGGAACCGCATTCCCACCTAGAAATACGCCCAACGCGCAACGACTGTGCTTTGTCTTTGTGATCCTTCAAGTCGTCTCTCTTAACCGAGCATTTATTCTTGAATATATGCGTTTAATCCTCTGCTATGTGCTGTAATTTGAGTGGATGCATGTGAAATGGTGTTTTTGCAGCGTGTCCTCGCGCAGCTGTCACTGCGGATGTTCGTGCGCTCGTGCGTCACTGTCGTGCCGTCACGTGACTCGCCGAGCTGCAAGCTTCAGCAGCCTTTGTGACAAATATATCATAATCACCGAAGCAAATGAGCCTAAGCAGTCATCGAAGTCCTGCCTTCATTTATTATTTCTGAGAAATCTGAGAGATGAAACCAGAAAGCAGATTCAAATGTTTATCTTTGAGCAATAATTGCTTAAGTAAATAGCATACTCATATGATGGGACTGCCAATTTGCATG